CCCCAAAACCCCAAAACCCCAAAACCCCAAAACCCCAAAACCCCAAAACCCCAGGGTGATGAAATACGTTGAATTACTATTAAAACCAACTTAATTCAATCTGGAATTAAATATTTGACATCATCGGGAAATCTCCAAGTAAAGTCTTTTGGATATCAGTCTTCAAATTTGTAAATTTGATCAATGAAAGTTTCTTAAAGAAGGAAATCTCCTCAAATATATTCTGGAGAGGCTCTTCGTCTTGTCTATAGATAGGGTCTAAGCAATAGCAGACACAGTGGCCTTCTCTTTCCTCAGTAATAATGATTCCTCTCTGCATGAAGTAGTCCAAAGCTTTAGTGATGAAATCAAAGGATCAACTCTCATAATGCAGTACAATATTATCCTCATACAAGCTCTCAGCGAACCACTGGATCTTATTTAAGATTTTGGTCTTATCAATGTATTTCTCAGGAAACAAAGTGTAGATATAAACCATTGTTAACCAGAAAGAGTCAATGAATGGCCAAATTAAACTACAGAGGAACAAGAGTCCATTATTCTCATTTTTGGGCGTCTCATATTTGATAAGATCTCCTTCAGTGAAGAAGATTCCTCTTTTCTCCATAAAATTGACTGTCGCTTCAAAGTCTTCATAATTCTTAATTTTGATGGACTCTTGAACAAAGATGTTATCAAGCATGGTTGAGAGGAATTGGACTTTTTCCCAGACTCTCTCCTTGGAGACTCCAGTGTTCTTGATAGTATCCTTTCCAAATCCTAGGAAGGAAACTCCGATGATCATCTCTTTCAAGAAGATATGTACCAAGGAGTTTTTGTAGTATGCAAGCATGAGTATGTTCTTGTAATCAATCTTGGGAGATACCATTGGCTCAAAGACATCTCTCTTTTTCTTTACAAATTCTCCAAGTAAGGTCATTGAGGATGAAAGGTCACCTGTTAGAGTAGACTTTTCAGCGAATACAGCATTTCTGGCATTAAGCTCATTGTATACATACTCCAATTCATTCACTAAGTTCTCCTGTGAGATACCCTTTCGATGTTGGAGAAGGACTGATGCTAAAGGAGCCGTGGACATGATGACTGACAATTTAGAGTTGCATTCATGAATTGTCCTTGTCAAACTCTTTACAATATCATTTCTAGCATCATCTGGAAGGTAAGTGGCTTGATGTGCCTCGATGCCCATATTTTGAACATATTCCTTCAAAGAAATCTTTGATCCAAAGTTAACACATGTCTTTCCAAAGGGAGTACCGATGTATCTAGCAGAGGCTACGAATCTTGAAAGAGATTCTTTAACTTTCTCTTCTCCTACTAGCTCATATGGGAATGTCTCTCCTTCAAGAATTCTATCATAGTTGATAGTCATAGGAATAATGTCTATATCTTTTGTTTTTCCTTCAAAGAATGAATCAAGGGCTCATTCCAATACATTAGTGTTAGCCTTTACCTGGAGCCCAGATTTTTCTCTTGTCTCTTCCATTGAAATCGAAATAGTTCGCTTGTCTGACATTAAAAGAGAAAGGTACTCCTTAAGGATAGCCCTATAGACTGGATTTGTCTCTACTTCTCTGACATAAAAACTTCCACAGTGCCTTAAAATCCTATGTAGGAGTTTAACCTCCATATACTGAACTGGTGTGCTGAAGAAAGGTTGTTCCATTTCATTAGCAAAGAAGATGTATCCGATGAGGAGCATATCCATGTATGACTTTCTTGTTGGCATCAGTAATATCGGGTTCTTTGATACCTCCTGAAGTTCTTTTATTTTCTTAAGATCCTTCACATCAACAATAATCTTGTCATAAACTCTCTTCAAGATCTTATGGGTTGCCCATGCTGCTGATTTGACATACCCTTTGCCTATCTTAGAGCAAATTTCTTGCGCGAATTCTGTAGCTTGAGCAGTTGCTTTCTGGTAAGCTTCCTCCTCTGAGTAATCCTTGAACTTCGAAGTAGTTATATATTCATAAATAGCTTTATTCACAGAGGGAGAATTTACTATTGTCTTGACTACTTCTTTGTATTTTCTAACGATATTGACCTTCCCTCTAGTAGTGGCCCATAAGATGTCATCAAAGTAGGTTTTGACTCTTTTCTTAGCAATTAAATCATCAAAGTTCTGATCTGGGATAGGCACTCCTTTCTGCTTGATCACATAGGTTTGCATTCCATAGCAAAACAGGTATACGTAATGCTTCCAGACAATCTAGAGGAGGATTAACATTTATGAGAGGAAAACTTACATCAGTTGCGTCTGTGAAGAACATCTCTCTTTCAATGGGAGTGATTGAATTCTGGAATTCTTCTAGTAATGGCTGATCGAAAATCCATTCATTGCAAGTGAAGTGGGCTAGCAAGTAGTTGACCATTTTTCCTTTCTGGTTTACCTTCTTTAATCTGCTGACATTCTTTTTCATAGATTTACTGAAAGTGATTTTTGAGAGAGATTCATAGAATTTCTCAGGAATTTTGCTTCTAACGAAATACCAGAATTCATATCTCTTTGATGATGGGTAAAACCTAGCACGGGGAGGTTGGAATTGTTGTTCATAGGGAATACTTGTGAAGTACTTCTCAATAGACGTCACGAATTCTCCCCAAAGGATTGAGTTCTTTGAACCTGAGGTTCCTCAATTATGGACTATTCAAGAATCCTTATTTGCATGGTAGGCTGTTCCAATGATTGTAGCGTTGACCACATAATCAACTGGGATTACGTCTCCAATCTTACCATAGTTTCCAATTCCGTCTCTAATAATGCCGATACCTCAGAAGAATACCATTGCTCCAGCTGCTGAGATATTATCAACCCATCCTGGGTATGGCTCCTTATAGCTACATCCCACGATGGAAGGCCTAATAATAAAAGTTGGAAGCGTTCCTCTATGTTTCTGTAGCAGTCTCTCTCCCATAGACTTAGTGAAGGTATAAGTGTTCGGGAAATCACCGAGAATAGCTGGAGTTTCTTTCTCAATCTCTTCTACGGAAAGTGTCTTCAAATAATTTATGTGTTGCTCAACATCAAAATTTACATCGTAAATTTTCTCTTCAATAAACCCTCTCTTATCTGAATTGACGTAACTAGTAGACATGTGGGTGTAACACTCGATATGTTGGCAGTCCTTGGCCAGCTGCTGCATTCTGAGAGCCCCATCGATGTTGATTTCAATAGCTTGGTCTAGCCTGGAGTTGAAATCCACAGAAGCTGCGATGTTGATAATTACCTGGCAATCCGAAGTAATCATCTCTCTATCTTGGGGACTAAGAGCAAGGCCTTCTTTGACTAAATCTCCAGCGACTGGGACTATCCTATCCATGATGCTCTGCCAGTCTGGGTTTTCTTCTTTCCAACGATTGAAACACTTTGATCCAATAATCTAAATAATACTTGTAAGGCTTAAGGTATAGATACAGGCAACATTTTACCTGGATATTTTAGAATAAAAGTCATAAAGATCTTAAGAATCCTTCGATGAAATATTTGAAAATAACTAGTGGAGATATACTAGATAGGGACTTTAAATATATTAAAAGAATTGCCTTGAAAAGAAGGAGTTTAGACTACTTCTCTGAGTATACAATTTATGATTTCTAAATATTTTGGTGCATCTAAAAGACTATTACTTTTTATTTCTAGAATAAAGAAATGACGCAAGTGAGCTTTATTCATGAAATTCTTACCTCATTATTGACTCTTTCCATCAATGAGAACCCTGATTTTTCTTTTGCTATAGTAAAATTATAAACCTAAACTATTGCATCACTTTGCATAATGATAACCTTATTTATATCGCAAAAATATATCTTAGCTAATATCTGCTTCAAAAAAGTACCAATAGGTTCAAAATCCAAATCCAAAAGCTTAAAAAATCATATTTTTATCTAATTCTTTCATCTAAATGCAAAATCCTAATTTCTGCAATAACTATTCATCTAAATAACCACCTCCTTGAAGTCATATCACTCAAACAACTCAACAGCAAGGATTCCTTGCTGTTGGCAAAGACTTACGGCGAACGAGGATGTAAAGCTTCCTGAAATTAGGCATCTTCCTGAGCAGGGCTTCGAGCAAGACCTTGCCAATGAACCCTATATAGGTACGATTAGAAGTGGGGCATAAGGAAGGGTACCTGTCGTTCCAGTGAGGAGAAGAATTTTGTCCTTGTAGAAATCTTGTAACATATTTAATACACTCCGTTAATTCTATTTTTATTTCACATGTTGGGGTTTTGGGGTTTTGGGGTTTTGGGGTTTTGGGG